AACACCAAAGCACCGCCGTCTGAACGCGGTCCAGTACAGTGAGGCGAACAGACGGGAGGGTGCGTCCTTGCGGAATCACCTGCGCATGGCGAGGAACAGATACGCCGAGGATGGCGAGGCGGACGTTCTGCTGGCATCCATCGCTGAGGTGTCAGACTTTTACAAGCTTCCATCCACGGATGCTGCTGGCTTCAGGGATCTCCTCGCCGCAGAGTGCACGCAACTGTTGGAGCGTCGGGCAAGAGACTTTGATGAATATGCTGAGCAGGCCGACGTCCTGGAGCAGACGGTAAGCCCAACAAACTTGACTTTGAGCATGGGATGACTTTGCTGACGAGTGGCTAGAACCTGAATAACGCAGCGGTGACGAAGGACCGGCAAGAGCAGGCCATTTATGCTTTCACCATTGTCACAATCATATTCCTGCCCTTGAGCGCGGTGTCGAGCATCTTCGGGATGAACACGAGCGACATCCGTGACATGGAGGCCGGTCAGTGGCTTTACTGGGCCTCTGCGATACCAGTCACCATCCTGGTCATCGTGCTCGGTCTGTGGTGGATGGGAGAGCTAGGCCATCTGTTCAACTGGATGGCCAATAAGTTTCGCCGCGAGGAGAATTTCGGATCCGGGTTCTCTGCGCACGCTGGCATCTCAGAGAAGTCAAATCACCATGACGCGATGGAGGTGCGTGAGCTCCCTGCTCCGAGGGCTGCTGTGTATGCTCGACCGCCGTCAGCCAAACAGAACTTCATGAGGCGGACGGTGAAGCTGGTTCGGTCAGATGGTGCGTCACGGCGGCAGCAGCGCGCGAGGATGTCGGCGGCTTGAGGGCCCTAGTCCCACGATGGGCGACTGCCTTGGATCGTATCAAGGAAGTTCGGGGGCACCCGAGCCGGATAGATCCCAGGGTCAAGGGCCCTAATGGATGGATCTAGACTTACTTGATCTGGGAAGGCGAGAAAAAAGAAAGCGGCAATGCAGAGGTTGGGCTGCGAAGAGATGGCCGGATCTCGAATCAGTCAAGCATGCAGCCAGCGACGATCGATAGATGGAATCGTACAGTTCGCGGCCTTGGCATCGAAGACGGCGCCCAACGAGAATGAGGCCAGCTCCTAAGAATCGGGGCCCAAGAGGCCGCGCAGCAGCGACTTGGGGGAAGAATAGTTCTCTCTCTTCTCGGCCCGCAGCCCAACGATGTCTGCTGGCCCCGGACCCCAAAGAGATGGCGGCGGCGCGGCGGAGATGGTTGGGACAGAAGATGGAGCTGCCAGCGCACCCAATCCAACAAGCTCAGCCCTGCAACCCCACGATCAGGGGTACCCCGAGTTGGCTGCGCAAATGGACGAAAGGCGCGGCGCTGAGCAATCGCATCTCGTGGGAAAAGGCGGTGCGCAGCGGGCTAGCTGCGAGCAATCCCGCGCGGCGGCACATCAACAACCTTGATTTTCTCCCATCCCGCGCCGTCGACCATCGGCGGTGACGGGCAGCACGCAGGACAGGACGCAGGACTCGCACACACATACCGCAGTGCATCGAGAGAGGACCCGAGGTGCGCGGAGCGAATGAAGATGGTCGAGACCGCCGGGGGATGTCAGCCGGAGAACCCAAAAAAGAGAGAGGTGGCAGCCCGGGCCAAGCACCCCTCCCTCCAGCAGGAGAGCGCACGAGGACCCTCCCGGAATCTTGATTTTGGCGTGACGTGCCCACTGGCGTCATAAGGCCCTAATTGCCCAATCGCGCGCCCCTGTCCCTCACGCGAAGGGAAAGAAGATGGTGGAAGGACGGTCTGGAAGGAGGGAAGGGTCTTGTTCATGTGGGAAGATGGAGGGGGGATGGTCCTGGGTTTTGTTGGACAGGTTTGCGGTTCTGCATGGTCCCTCCTAATTGTAATTTGATCGCCCAGTGTCATTGTTTGTTCATTTGCTTGCTCTCTAGAGATATCCCACTTTGCGCGCCGAATAGAGTATTGCAGAAAAGATACCATACACTAGTACTGAGTGTGTTCAGCTCCATCCAAAGCGGCTGTGCTCCATCAGGTCCCCTCTCTCGTGCGTCTCGTCTCGGTCGGGCTTCCCGCTGCTGGGTCCTCGGCGCTGGTGCTGCTGGTGCTGGGCCTCCAGAGGGCGGGGGACACGGCCATGGCGATGCACCACTTCCCGTCGTCGTTTTCTCTCCCTCGACACGGCAGCTGCACGTCGACCCAGCCCAGCCTGGCCTGGGTCTCCCATCCAGACTGGGCTTTCCCTCGGGCTGACACACCATCATCTCCTTGGTGTTTGTGAGCACTGTACTGTACTGCAAACTAGGAAGCGCAAGGTACTTGTACTACCCGGCTATGCGAGGTGGGTGGTGTGGGTGACACCCACCGCCGCCCAACCCAACCAGTGACAGCCGTCAGCGACGGTGACATTTCCCGTCCGGCCTTGCCTGGACAAGTTCGCTTTTCCAAGTCTTTTTTTCTGTGTCTTTCCCTGGCAGCAGCTGGCTCTCTTGCGCCCAGCGGTACGTAGTTATATAATGGGATAGCGCATCTCCCGCCCACCATTCATCCCCCCTTCTTCTGCCCCCGACCTTATTTAGTGCAGCTCCATCGCCACGCACTCGAAACCCAGCCTTCCCGCCTCTCTTTTCTGATTCAGAAGCTGATCTTCACTTCTGTCCCGCCAAACAAACTCGATCGTCCCTTTTTTACTCCTTCACATCATCCCATATCCGGATGTGTTGCAGCAGAATCCGCCTGCGACCTGCGCCTACCCGCAACCCAAAACGAACCTCGGTCCCCCGTTGTGAAAACCACACCGTCGGTATCGGCCAACGTCGCACCTTAGTGTAGGCCACACCGGCGCACTCAGACTTCCCTCCTCAACAGTTCCCTCTCTGCACAGCTGTTCAAAATGGGTACGTGTAAATCCCGCCTTATCCCTGACGTCACCTCAGAAGCAAAAAAGCTAATCACCAAAGCAGCATCCTCACGAGAATACTACGAGTACCATCACCACCACCGCCACCACTCCCACCACGGCGCAAAGAAGCGCCTCTACCTTGAACCCCCCACCAACGGCGCCGTCACCGTCCGCACAAAGAAGACAACCTTCATCCCAGCCCGCGAGCCGACCCCGCCGCCGGTCATCGTCAGGCCCTGCACGCCCCCTCCTCCCCCCGTTGTCGAGCCTCTCCCTCCTCCGCCTCCACCCGTCATCGCGCTCCCTCCTCCTCCTCCTCCGCCGCCGCCCATCGTCCTGCCGCCTGAGCCCGCGCCCATCGAGGTCATCGCAGTCGACGTGGAGCCTAGTGTCAAGAGCGTCAAGAGCAGCAAGAGCAGCAAGTCCTCACGCAGCAGCCGCAGCCGCAGCTGCAGCCACTCACGCCACGGCAGCCGCGACCGCGAGAGGGACGTCAGAGAGGTCTACGTTGAGCGCGAGAAGCTCGTCCCCGTGCGAGTGCCGTACCCCGTCCCCGTCCCCGTCGAGCCGCGCTACGAGACGTTCAGGTACGTCGAGGGGAGGCGGTACTCGCCGCCGCGCATGCTGCCGCCGCCCCCGCCGCCTGAGGAGGAGAGGATGAGAGTTACCATCTCGGACCGCAGGAGGGAGCGGGAGTACATTCACAGGCGGTGAGGGAAGACCTGGCATACGTTTGAATGACTTTGTATGAGTCTATTCCGGGATGGGTCCTATTATTTTGGAGATATGATTTTTATGATTTGTGATTCTATGAAGGTCTGTCTTAGTTGGAGTTGTTGGGATATTTGGTCATGATTTATCTGCTGGATGAGGTATTTTGTATGGATGACAGCGAGCGAAGAACGATATGATGGAAACACATACGATACGATAGACATGTTATGATATCCAAGCAACGGCCTTGTCCTTTCATGTCTCGTTGCCCTGCGCATATCGACTCTTGTGTGAAGCATCGTGGTGTCTCGGCAGACTTCTATAACCTATTCACAGTAATAGCAGTTGGCACAATTCTCCCTGCTTTCTTTTTCGTTGCAATACGTTTGCCAACTATCTCTTCAATTGGATAATAAGGATTCTTGACACTCGTCGCAGGGGCGTGTACGATACCTGACAGTACCTTACCACCAGCAACCGCAATTGGGAACCATGGCATGTTTTTCTCACAACTCTGGCGATACCGAGCATCATATAGCATATAACGTTAACAGCCCTGCGCTTCGAGGCAAAAGTCTATCCTCCGCGAAGACTTGACACCGTCCTTACCAGCCTTCTTGTCCCCTTCCCCCACGTTCGTCGCCCCGTATACCGCGAAACCAACACCTCAAAATAGGACTTGATTTGAGATAAAGGATCAGCCGTCTCTCTCCAGGATCAACGACAGGGAAACTGACTAAGTCACGATACTAATCGTCCCCTTCTCTATTTTAGGCTTTCCCTCTTTTTTTGATGCTTGTTTTAAGGGTCTTTTCTGGGCTTCCTGAGACGGAGAAGCCCCCTGGACACGGTTACATGCCCCCTCCCCCTCGTCACCCCGCCTCCTCGGTGACAGACATGACAGCCAGCCCGCCGCGTCTAGACTTCTCGTTCTCTTGCGACGTCGATGAGGCTATCTTTGAAGCCTTGGCACGATCGATCTTACCGTGTCGCGTTTCCTCTTGACTGTTTGCTCGAGTTCCCATGTCGTGATCGCGGCCGGGGCAAGCGAAGTGGCTCCCGTTTGTTTTCGTTGCCAAGACGAACTGCCAAAACTGCCAAGCAGGGCCTCGAACGTTTCTGATATCCTTGGATCACTCCCGAGCGCCTCGCCTTGAAGAGAGGCTTCTCGGTGATTCCATCGTGACTTCAGATGGGGGCGCTGTCGAGTCTGAGCGCTGGCTCTACTGTTCACCCACAGGACACATGTACACGAGCGGTCCCACCGTCGTCCCCAACCAACCATCGCCGTCGCCAGAATCCCACTCCTGCGTCTTCCCCCGCCACGATCTCCGCCGTGGTGGGTTCTCCATCGCGTTCTCGGCCTCGCTGTGCATATGGTTCGGGCGCTTGGTCTAGGGGTATGATTTTCGCTTCGCATCTTCGCCGGTATCTCCAGGTGGTGCGCCTTGTGAAAGGTCCGGGGTTCAATTCCCCGAGTGTCCATTGTTTTGCCTCATGGCGTGCTTCCTTTTTGTCAAAAGACGAAGGAGATGTTTCTGAAGCTCTCATGCGTTGGTCTGGGCGTGGCTGCGACTTCTCAGCGGACCCGAGGTAATCGGTTCATATCCCATCGGATGCTAGGCGTTCGAACAAGTGAACGCATCGGCGAGTGTGTGCGTCCGATTGGGTTTCTGGAATACTTAGGCAGTCCACAGCAGGCGGGAGGGAATCCACAGAAATGGAGGCAGAGCTCAATCTGGACCCGCCGTCTTACATCCGTGGCAGAGTCGGCGCACGCGGACGCCGCCTCGCTCTCAACCCGCAGCGGCGGCTCCGAAGACAAGACGGATGATGGGCCGGGACGCGTGGCCTCAATCACTTGGCCGTGAAGTCACTTGACGCTGGCCGAATCACCCATACGCACCGATTCCGAATGCATGTGGTGAGATTTGCCCAAGACGGCATATCGGAGCCGTGGGCCAACATGCTGCGATACTTGAGAGGACTCGTGGTCCAACGAATGCTGCAGGCAGCAGCATCGGCGGAATCTCCAAACTCTTGCGACGTCTTCCAACTGCAACAATCTCGGCACTTCGGACAAAGGGCTCACAGGCCGAGTTCTGCCCCAGTTCTCCCGCCCGCCGTCCATCGGCTCCATCTCGCCTCTTCGGATGGCGTGCCGGCCGTTAACCCCACGTCGCACGGCCTTTCCCGGAACGGCGTCCGGTACCGACGTGGATGTGGGATACTCGAGCTATGCACTCCGCGATGGGCTGATGAGTTTGTTTTTGAGACGGCGCTGTTTTACTTGCCCATCAGCTTGGGCCAGATTGCTTCCTAGATCCGGTACGGCCTCATCCAAAAAGACGGGACTCTCTTCAGTCTGCTGAGAGATCAGTAAATGGTTTGGACGAGATGCGTCACCAGGCTTCGCGGCTCGTGGGGCAATCTCAACAGCGAAGTTGATGCATTCAGAAACGAGTCAGAAATTCCCTCAGGAATTCCTTCTTCTGGACAGCTTCGATGCTCGTTTGCTGGGAGCGCCTCGATCATCACCCGAATGCCATCCGCCCTTAGGCGAATCCGCATTGCGAGTATGGGCACGGGACATTCGCCAGAACCAGCGTCCGCCTGGCAACAGTATCTGTGACGCTGACAATCCATGACAGCTTCACAGTCGAACGAGAACGACGTGCTGGTTCGGGGATGCCTCCCGCCCAACAAGCCCGGCCAATCCATTACACCGGCGGAAGCTGCAAGCCGGAACCAGCAGTCCGTGTGAAAAGACAGACCCGTCATCTCAACTCCGCAACATCGTTCGACAGGATTCCCTGCGTGAAAGCGCTGCTTCCGAAAGTTGGGGGATCGCGCGCATGAACAAGGGCCAACTACCCTTTACGTGAGGGGGAACTCCGTGCTCTTTGTTCCCGCCTATTCTAGTTGAAGCGCGTTGAATGTCAAGCGAGAAATCTGCGACGAGCACGTCCCGAGTGAATTGAGGGCGCGTCTGAAACACGTCCGCGACGCCGGCTGAACTTCAGCCTGAACACCAACGGGCGGTCATGGGAGCGAGTGATTTCGTGTTTCACCGTGGCTTATGAGAGAGGCCGCCACCTCATTGGACAACAACTAAAAGATCCGAAATTGCTATGCACAGCAGATGGAGAAAAGACAACTTCTGTTGCAAAGCTGGCGAGAGTCCCTCTCCCTTGGGTCGGTTTTCGTCCCAAGTCGATTTGGACACCCAGGTAACTTGAGTGGTCGGCTCGTCAACCGAATCCGCTATTGTTCTTCAGCCATCCCGGGTTTGTTTATGGTCTCGCGGCATGAAACCTGTCGCTGCTACAGTTGAAGGGGCAATGATCCCATATCTTTGATACGACTGCGTCCTCGAGATATGTCTTGCCCTCGGAGCGGGTTGTCGACTGACTGCAGGTCGAGTAATATTTCGAACTGGGATGCTGAAACCTCACAGTAGAGAGAGAGAGAGCCATGTCCCGCCAGCCACCTGCTAAGCTGGGCCGACTTGTCAATGATGTCGAGTATATGTTCGTGATACAGAGGTCCGCAGGTCCGCTTTTCCTTGCTGACAGGCAACCCCATCCCAAAGATCCTTCGTTGATGTCCGTTGGCTGCCCCTGTAACCTGAGCTTATTTGGAGCCATGCCGTTGAGTCGACATGCATGAAATGTCACTCATCCCAGGTTGCTTGAGCCTTGACACGGATAGAAGCCACCTTGCGCTTCCAGACTCATGCCTGACTGAGGTGAACATGCGAAGACGTCGCAGCAAGAGGCTGCCATTCTCCTGAATGGAACATCCACGTCTTGAATCAATGGGGCACGAGGCCCAATTTGACACGCGCGAACATCAGACGATGAACCAGCGATTCTCCTGGCTATCTGTCACGGAAGGCGAGTTGCTTGAAGCAAAGGTGTAACAAGCGCCAGCCATGCGGTGAGCCACTGTGGCGCGTTCCGGTGGTGAGCAAGAAACACTGCGCAGGGAATCTTTCTTGTGCTGTTGACTGCGTCATCATCGAAGAAGAGCAGTGCGCCTTTCCAAGCCGCCAATCCCAAGGTAGTTGCGCTCAACATCGTAGACGGAACATAGGTGTCCCGGATCTTGGCAGCGTTCTGCTGAGCTCCGTCGGTCATGCAAATGACATGCAAATGAAGCATCTGGAATTAAACTGGCGCGCGCCATCGTCTATCGAAAGTCTCGCAACTTGACAACCATGTCCGAGGGCCCTGAGCTTTTGCCGCCTTTTGCCCGTGTCGTCGATCAATTTCGCTCTTGGGGCGGTCTTCACCAGCACTTGCATCTACCGACTGGCTCCGGCCAGTCTCCCTGGTAAAACAGCATGCGGTAATCCCCTTATGTCTTTCTCAGGGTCCAAGTCTCCGCTCATCCATACCAAGCTTGATTGGCTGCATGGGTCGATCTGAGTGCTTGGCTTCCAAGGCGGCAGGCACAGGCCACCAATGATGGCCCCCGTCAACAAAGTCTCGTCAAAAGGCGTTCGCAGTAATGTCTCATGGCGTTCGCGGGGACAGGCCTGGGCGATCACAATGGCCGTTGGCTCTACCGATGGAACGGCGGCGACGGCATTTGGAGGCAAGAACCATTGTGTCTTGCCAGCTCTTGAGGAGGTGCAGGATTTGGCTAGCAAAGTCGTGGAGCGCCTCGAGCGGTTCTGAACCAGTTGAGCTTCTGTGGCTCTCAAGCAAGAAAGTGGATGGAAATTAACTGATCCACCTGCAATCAGGATACAGGACCAGCGACGCCGAGGCGCTACGGGAAAAAGCGACGCTGCAGAGGGGTCTTCCTGGCATTTTGCACCTTTCGCCGCAAATCTGGGGCCCTCTGCTTCACGGCGCCAGTCAAGAAGAGTTGAAGCGCCAGTCGGTTGTCGCTGCACGTTTAAATTGCCTTCTCTCGTGATATCCAGAATCTGCTTGTCCTTCGGACCGTCCCACATTCTTCAGTATCATTGACCGGCGATTTGGACGATCTCGTCCGCTGTGAGTGGTCCGTTAGGTGGTAGGTGCCGAAGGTGTCTACAAGACCAGGGGCAGGTCTCCAAATGAGGTAAAGAAGCGTTGCTTTGCGCCCGCGAGCCCCGAAAATGGCCAGCTTTGATTCAGGAAGCCGGCCTGCTTGCCGGCCATGTAGGTTGCAGTGCTTGTCGCCCACTGCATCTGGTAGGATTCGAGTCCTGATTACTTCCTCAAAAGCAAGTCTGCCGGTAGCATCGGAACGGAACCAAGAGACGAAGAATTTGGAAGCAGACTGCGTGTGTCACACCGCTCATGCGCGGGAGAGAGGTTATCGCACGGGAGGGTGGAACACAGCTGCGTGATTGGGCTGTGACCTTGAGACGAAATGACCCCGAAGGTTGCCGTCCAGTTCTCGCTGACGTGCGATAAGTGACTGTTGATGACGTTGCTTAGTGAACAGATTGCACAGCATTGCCTCTTTGCTTTGAAAACCGCCATTGAAAGCTGTACGGTGATTCAACATACTTTGCTTATGCCAGCAAGCTGCAAGGTGCCCTCATGGGGGCTAAATGCCAGCCAAGTCCAGGCCGAATTATCCTGCCTGTGGCTGATCAAAGATGTCGAGGCTAGCCAGCCACACACTCTTCAAGACCTCATGCAAAGAATCCCCGGATCTTGGGAGCGGCGGTTCATGCATTATATCTTTGAAGGACAATGTTTGATTGAGAATAAACAATTGTCAAAGCGCCACTTTCCAGGCGGACGGCGATGGAGGATCCCGGGCGGGAAGGTTTCGCGGTTGTTTCCCCAGGCGCTCGGGTTGGGGTGAAGGATGACATGACACAGACGCCTCGAAATGCTAGAGCGTAGGTTCCTTCGCAGCCTTGATAGGGAGCCTAGCGAATTGTTCCCTGCTCAACGGGCTCGTAATAGTGCGGGAGAACAAACCAAGGACGTCGAAACCATAATCCGTGTCGGGGTTTACAGCGTATTTGTAGTGCACTCTGTGGATGTTGTGGTGCCTTAACCGGGCATCAGCTTCCAGCCACGCCAGGCAGTTAGTGCTCTTCCCGTTGCTTCCCGTTGCTCTGCGCCGAAGCATTCAAGCGTGGTGGTAGTTGCGCAGCACAAAGCTCTACAACAAATGTGCTCAGCCGAACAGCCGACTGAAGTTGCATGCCGTGCAATCCAGCCAAGCGATCTTCTTTCTGGGGAAAGGCAGGCGTACGTAGAAGGGAAAAGGGCCCATGCACGTTCACTTCTATAGCTGGCGTTTCCCGTGTGGTGAGACGCTGTTTCCATGAAAATGCGAGTTTGAGGAGGTTTCTTCGCTGTAGCTCAACATGGAACATTGGTCCTCTTGGTATTCCAGAAGACAAGTTTCCTGTCGCCATGCTGGGAAGTCCAGACAAATGGATTTTGAAGTGGCCCTGAGATGGCTGACCGTGACTGGCTCCTTCATAAGCGGGCATGTGTGGTGATAGATGTGTTGGTACCTGCAGC